GGGAAGCGTCATCTCCCCCGGCCTCCCCTCCCGTGACGCGGAGCCGGACGAGATTATTACTCGCCCGTGCTCCCGCTCCCACCCCACCCCCTACTCCGCCGCCCACATCACCGCCCTGACGGGCGGGGGAGGGGCTGCCCGCAAGTCGCGGGTAAGTCCCCTCCCCTTTTAGTGGGCGGAACACCGCTGAGGCGCTGAGGAGACGGCCCTCCCCCAATGTCAACGGGGGAGGCGGCCTGGCCTGGGATTCCCGTCAGGCCCTGCCTCCACGGAGGCTTGCGGTGGAGGTTGTGACCGCCTGTGCCGCCCAGAAAAGTAGTGGACTCCCCCCGCGGGGGGAGTCCCCCTTCCCCCCATAACACCGGGGGAGGGTGCGCGAAGGCCCGCCCGTCAAACGGCGGGCCGGTGCGGGGGGCGTCCAGAAGTAATGGCTCTGCCAAGTCCTGGGCGTCCCCCAAGTTACAGCACCGCGCAGGTCACCGTGTGGTTTTAGTGCGGTAAGCCCAGCGGTCGCAATGCTAGCGGCCGCACCCGATCGCCACTAGGGGGGGCAGTACACATAACCCGGGCCACTTTGTAAACTCCCTTCCCAGAGGGGGGCCCGGGTATCCATAAAGGATTTCCACACGAAAAAAAGGTGATGCTCAACAAACCGATATACGTTGGCATGTCCATCCTGGAGATAGCGAAAACGCGATTGTACGAGTTTCACTACGAATACATGGTGCCGTTATATCGCGGTGTTTGTAAAATAATGTACACGGACACGGACAGTCTGATCTATTTTGTCGAATGCGACGACATGTACGAGGATATGACACGCTCCATCGACAGATTCGACACGAGCGACTACGCCGAGAACAACGTGTACAGTATGCCGCGCGCGAACAAGAGCGTTCCGGGTCTGACGAAGGATGAGAATTGTGGCGCGATTATGGTAGAATTCGTAGGGTTGAGAGCGAAGATGTATGCCGCGAGGGTGCTCGGACAGAGCGACACGAAAAAGGTGAAGGGTGTAAAGAGAAACGTAGTCGAGAGAACGATAACGTTCGACGATTTCACGCGAACGTTGCGCGATATGACGGAGCAATCGAGTGCGTTCGCGACTGCACGAGGTGTATACCGTGTCCGAAATGAAACTCGCCCTCAGTCCTCACGACGACAAGCGATACATCGTGCCCGAATCGTACGACACGTTGCTGTGAGGACATTACAGGGTGCTGCAACAAAAATAATACTTCATGTAAACACCTTTAATGTATAATAATAATAAATTGTTACAATATTCCTGTGTTGTGTATCCACGAATTGTGCGAATTATCCATTCCTAGCCACTTTACGTACGCCTCGTTGCCCTTTCTACGTAGAACCTTCTCCACCAGATAAACGTCGGGATTGGCGACTCGTGACAATTCGTGCTCGTAGAAACCTCCAGCTATTAGTTGTCCGCGATAATCTTTCAGTAGATACGTCACAGGATTTGTCAGCTGTACCTTGGCGATGCGAAACACCTCTGTAGTCCAGTTGGGTGTGTAGCCTTTTTCGAATATCGTTTTGAATTTGCTCACGCGCACCGAATCGTCGATCATGAATCGTCCTGGAGCGGCTATCTTCGTTCGACTGTACACCGTTTTCAAGAGTTTCTCGGCAGCCTCAGGCATCACGTCTACGGGTCGCATACGGATCGTTCGATGTACGCGACGATTGTATCTCGACAACAGATTCGGCAGTTCGTTGACCCACACGTACGACCCGTTGAGTGTGAACATCTTCCACATGTCGTTCTTGAGCGTACGATTGAATCGTTCCACCACCGAGGCCTTCATCACGGAATACGTAGAGTAATGGTTTACGCGACGTTGTTGCAATACTTCTCGCACGTCGGCGTTGTAGAACTCCTTCCCCTTGTCCGTTTGCAAATTTTTCGGACACCGCTCGCTCTCGCGAAAGAGTTTGGAGAGGGACGCGGCCACTTCCTTTCCACCCTTGCTCTTGAGTGGCACAGCCCACGCGTACTTGCTCAACACATCGATGATCGTCAGTATGTACTTGTGACTCTTATTGAATCGCGAGTACGGTCGCATTTCCACTACATCGGCCTGCCACAGATCGTCGTATCCTTGCACTATGACACGTCGGCGTGGAAAGTTCTTCCGCGCCGGAGGGTGCAGCTCCTCCACGAGTATTCGTTTCTCGACGCTCATCGTCCTCTTTGTTGGGTGTATGTATTTGTATTGGTTTATTTAGGTTGTAAAAGATCGTGAAGTTCCTTTAAGCGCGGATGTTCTCCTTGCTGCTGAGTAATCTTCAATACTGCTATCAATTCTCGCACAGCGTTTTGCAGAATAAGTAACTGTCCGTTGTGCGAGGCAATTTCTCTTTGCAGATTCGATACTGTGTTATCAACATCGACAACGGTCATATCTATGTCGGGCGTTTTTTGTTTCAACTCCTGTATCGTTCTGTTGTAAGTGTCAAACTGCGATTAGATGAATTCGTCTCTTTTTGCAACATCGATCGAATGCGTTTGTTTCCAGTTCTGTATATTATTTAGTATAGTTTTTAATTCTCCTAGTTTTGTGTTATACTGCTGTGTTTTCCATCGGTGTCTGTCGTCGCTATCCTCGAGTCGTAGTATCAATGTTTCCACTTCTCTCGCAAGTCTTTCACCGAGGGTTCTTTTCACCTCGTGCAACGTTTGTTCTTGCACTTCCACGAGTTTTTGAGTACTCGCGATTTGTGTCACGCTTTGCCGTAGCAGTTCATCCAATAACTGTATACTCTGATTCACTGTAGACTGGTTGCTCTCCAGCGTTGTTTGTATCTCTCCGATTGTTCGAGATCGGACATTTCACATGCAGTGCATCGATTAATTTTCTCAAGCTATCGATAGCTTCAGGTGTACAGCGCGTGACTCTGGAAGATTCGTGAGGGACGCTCGGACCGGCGAATTGTCGTCGCGTTTGTTTTTCTCCTCGCCTCGAGGACACCGCGAAAGCCCGGGCCGTACACCTTTTCAAAACAATTCGCTCTAAACATTGTAACGTGCTCGCGTCTTCGCAACGACGGCGAGCTCGTGTCAACGACTCTTCACCGGCAACCAACGGACTCTACCGCCAATCGCGTCGACCGCAGCGCAAACGCACCTGTCGCGCGCGCGTTAGAGCGCGCGGGGACTCTCGATCGCCAATCACCCGTGGCAATCGAGGGTCACCTTAAAACTTTAAACAGGTTGAGGGTTGATTGGTGCCCCTCCGACTGGGGGGCTAAATCCAGACGCAGATAAATTAACCTGCCGCATTCCTTTTCGGGCAGAGCCACTCGAGTCGCGTGTTTCACCGCTCCGACGAACTGTTGCTTGCGCTTTTTTCAACGTTTCTTGGTGTACCGACCCGCTAGCATTCTGGACTGTTCTCTTTGTTTAACGGAAATAAATTAGTTGTAACACGTTCTTTTTAGAAACAAGAGTGCTGCGTTTTATTCAGTAATTTGCCCGCTCCTCTTTGTCCGCGTTATCAACCGCGCTTCCGAACATTAATGGTCCTTCGAGCCGGATTCACCACCGGCTGCTGCAAATTCGGGAGTGCATCGCCAGTTGAAGTGCCTGAAAAAAGAGAGAGCTGTAATCATGGACTTAAACGCCTTGCTAACGGCGCAAAGCGACGCTTATGGTCGCATCGCTCGTTCGGTCACCAACTTAAAGAAGATGGGCGCGGAGAACATTACGCTCCACGCCGTTGAGACACGCCTTCAACTCCTCGACAAGACATGGGCCAAGGTCGAAGCACAGCACGAAGCCATTCGAACTCTCTTCAAGGAGGAATTTGATGAGAGTGAGTACAATCGAACGCAATTCTTCGACACCATCGAAATTACTTACGTGGAAGAGCGAAGCGCGTTAAATGAGTACTTAATAAAACTTCAATCCGCGAATCCGTCAAGCGCCGTTCCTAGCAAGGAGTCCAGCAACGTTTCCTCCGTATCGGCCTTACCTCGACTCCGAGTCAAGTCGTTTTCGGGCGCGTTCGAGGACTGGCCCACCTTCCGGGATAGCTTCATGTCAATCGTCGGCAAAAATAAGTCCATCTCGAACATCGAGAAGTATCATCACCTGAGGTACTCTCTCGAAGGAGCGGCTGAAAAATTAATCCGTCCATTAGCCGTAATCGGGGAGAATTATCCGCGCGCGTGGGCAATGCTTAAAGAGCATTACGAGAATGAAAAGGAGGTAGCTCGCGCCAATTTTGCCGCCTTCACCGCCGTCCCTAAAATGAGGAGCGACACCACCGAGGAACTCGACCGCGTTTTCAACGCCGTAACTAGCGTTGTGAGCGGACAGGAGGGTATCGGTAGGCCCATCGAGACACACGGTTTTGATTTACTCAACCACCTCGTCACCGAAATGTTCGACCCGAAGACTCGCCTCGAGTGGGCGTCCTACACGAGTGAGTCCACCGACGTTCCGAGTCACGAAACCCTGGTGAAATTCATCACTCGAAGAGCGTTCACTCTCAAAGTCGCTAAGGCGACGACAGCCAAAACCTCCGGGGATCCGCCACGATCCGCAAGGTCCCATCACGCCAAGGGGTCCCCCACATCGTCTCAGTGTGTATTGTGCAAGGGCAAGCACAATGTGATGATGTGCGACGAGTTCAAGGCGAAGTCCGCGACCGACCGCAAAACCGTCGCGGAAACCCACCGGCTGTGTTTCAACTGCCTCGGTCCACACCAGATCGCGAAATGCCAGTCCGCTAAAACGTGCACCACGTGTAAAGCTCGACATCACTCGATGCTGCACGACGCGTATGCCACCGTTAGACCCGCCGAAGCAAGCACACTCTCCGCTGTGCGCCGGGATGAAGACACCAAGGCGATTCTTCTCGCGACCGCGAGAGTGAACCTCGCCGACCGCCATGGAACCCCGCACACGGTCCGCGCCTTGATCGATCAAGGGTCGGAGGTCTCGCTGATCTCAGAGTCCCTTGTGCAACGCCTGCGCCTGCCACGATCCAAATCCTCAGTGTCAATCTTTGGCATCGGAGGGACCCGCACTGGGTCAAGCAGAGGGAAGGTCTCGCTCAGCCTCTCCTCCACTGTCAACGAGACGAAGTTGACAGCCGTTGCCTTTATTCTCCCTCGTCTCTCACTTTACCAAGGTGCTGTAGTGCGGGACCGAGCCGCGTGGCCTCACGTGGAAGGACTCCAGCTGGCCGATCCTGGGTTCCGAGCCAACGACCCGATCGAGCTACTTCTCGGAGCGGAAGTCTGCTCCATCATTCTCGAGGAGGGCCTCCGCAAGGGAGGCCCTCAAGCGCCCGTCGCACAACGCACGTCGCTTGGCTGGATCCTGTCCGGCGGGTGCGTTGACCCCCCGCTTCTAACGTCGCGCACGTCCTTGCAGTGCACGGCCGAGCACGAGCTCACCGCGCTCGTGCGACGTTTCTGGGAGCAGGAACAGGAAGCTTCCGCTCCCGTCGCCGCCACTCCCGAGGAACAGCTGTGCGAGGACATCTTCACTCGCTCTCACACTCGCACCGACACGGGTCGGTACATGGTGAGGCTGCCATTCGCCTCGATTTAAGTCCAATATCAATTTGTAGCAAATTGTTTAAAATTCCGTGTGATTTTTCAAAGTTTAAATGAATATCGCGATCTTAAAACAACGAACATTTCCATTTTCTCATATTTACATGTAAATAAAAAAAAGGAAAAACGTTTATCAAAAATCGGCCATGACAGATCTCTAAGGAATTTCATAAGCTTTAATTTAAGACCAAAATAATTACAAGAGGTTGCATACTTTTGGCTAAAAGTTGTTTTGAACGAAAACGTGCTACTTTGCCCCACTGTGCGACGGTTCGCGCACAGTCGTCACGATGTTGCTGGCATTGCTGGACAGGCGCGATATTCTCGAGTGGTTTCCCGAACAGTTACGTTTCGTGACGAAACATGTTCTGTTGCGCTACTTCGTCGACTACGTGGACCGGTTGTGGGATAAACTGGCCGTTACGTTGAAAAACGATCCCGAGGTGCAAGGGTATCGCGCGTGTCGCGAGCATTACAACCAACCCTGGCAGGACACGCACACCGACGGTCCACCACCACTCGTTAAGGATTGCGCTCAATGTCAGAGCGTGCGAAACGAATAGGCGCCGGTTTATTGAACAGAGCGATAAACGCGCTTCCGTTCGAACTGCATGTGCCCGGTTATCAATTTTGTAGGCCTGGAACTCGTCTCGACGAACGGTTGCAGCGCGGTGAGCAAGGGGTGAATCCGTTGGACGCGGCGTGCCGCGAGCATGATATTGCGTACTCGCGAAGCAGCAACCTTGTCGATCGTCACGCCGCCGATCGAGTCCTCGCTGAGAAAGCGCGCGGTTGTATCACAGCGAGAAACGCGACCCTTGGCAAGAGAGCAGCGGCGACCGCTGTATGGGGTGCTATGAAGGTAAAAACGAAATTGGGAGTGGGTATGAAGAAGAGAGGAAGGAAGAGGGGGAAGAGAGTATTGCCAGCGGCGAAACGCGGAGGCTTGTTGCCCATTCTGCCAATACTAGGGGTCCTCGGGTCCTTGATTGGTGGAGCCGCCGGTGTAGCGAAGGCTGTGAACGACAACAAAGCCGCGCGACGCCAGTTAGAGGAGCTGCAACGTCACAATCGAACGATGGAGGGTCGCGGACTGTACCTCGCACCGTACAAAAAATACGGAGGTGGTAGTGGTGGGAAACGTAAAACGAAAAAAAACCGTGGACGGAGACGCTAGAGGCGCTCGATTTACCGATGTATGACGTCTCGACGAGCGGACAATTGAGTCGAGCGGCGCGTAAACTACGCATACCTCACTTTTGAGGGGTGTTTATGCGCGACAATTTGCCCGTGAAAGCGCGACGTGAGGAGTGCGGCATCGTGAATCTCGATAACACGGTGGATCCGGGTACGCATTGGGTTGCATATGCGAAACAGGCGAACGATGCTGTGTACTTTGACAGTTTTGGAAATCTTCGACCTCCGCGAGAACTCGCGCGCTATCTAGAGGACGTCAACATATCGTACAATCATCGGGCGTATCAAACGTTCAGTCAAACTTTCTGCGGTCAGTTGTGCCTGCGGTTTCTGTATGAATTCGATTGGACGACAAAAAACAAAACAACAAAATCGTAACTCCATTCGAGATAAACCTCAGTCGACTCTCGACCGTCATGTCGCTGACGCTCACGCTGACGGGAACGAGCGGCGTTCTCGTCGCGAGCTATTTTCCCGCTCTCGATCTCAGTGACGGTGAATACGAGTTGGGCCTTGCAAATTTCGAGACCTACAACACGATACCGAACGTCAAATCGACGAACGATACATTCTATCTTGGTGAGAACGACGAACCGATCGTCATTCCCGAAGGATCGTACGAATTGCGCGCAATCGAACGGTATCTCAAGGCCGCGATTATCGCCAGACGACGACGACAACGGCGGGACAAGTCCACGGATGACGATGAAGATCTCAACGAGTATCGCGTGTACGACAACAACGATTACGACGTCGACGACGACGAGGGAAAGGATAACCAATATACTAACGTTCTTCGCGCCAATGAAAATACCATGAGGACCGAGATAAAATGTGCGTATAGAGTAAATTTTACAAAACCGAACAATATTGGCTCCTTATTGGGTTTCTCGACAACGCGTGTATTGGAACCGAACAGATGGTACGTGTCGGACCAACCGATAAATATCATGAGCGTCAACGTCGTACGCGTGGAATGCAACATTACCGCGGGGGCTTACAGCAACGACAAACCGGTACACGCGATACACGAATTCGTGCCGAATGTTCCGCCGGGATTTAAACCAGGG